CCAGTCACCAGTGTTCTCTTTAAGCCAAGTTAGTGTGAGCTAGCTCACAGTTTTTTAGCCTCTGGCTCACACATTTTGGTCTTAGCTCAGGAAGGGTGGCTCCAGAGCAAACTAATTTATGCAATAGCCAAACTGCTTGCTCACAACTTTAATACCAGTAGCTCACAAAGTAGAATTGTTGCTCACAAGACTCCGCAGCTTAGACGGAGCATTTTTAGCCTAATGCCCCTCACAGAATTGTTGTGAGGATAAAATGGATGAGAGGAGAATGATGCAAACTACTTTAGACAGGGTATAAATGAAATAAATAAATAAATAATACTCTTAAAGAAAAAATTATGGAATATGTAAAAAGTGTCATTCCTTTACCACAGAGTAGTCACTATCAGGCCCCATATACTGCTGCTATAGAAATGCTTTCAGAGAAGAAGGGACAGGGCTTCCAAAACAAGCTTGGGAGCCCATGTTTCTCTTTTTAGAAATGAAAACAAACAAGGAAAGAGGAAAGCAGAGAAATGCAAACCTTGGAGGGAGAGATTCAATTTTCATCATTTTAATCAAACCCAAAGGTGCTTCAAATTGATAAAGACAGATGTCTGTGCTTATTATTAATTTGTGAGGTGACTATGATTTTTTCTTGTAGAAAGCCTAGAGGAAATAATCCTATAGTTTTGGGGTTTTTTTAAAAAAAGAAAGGTGATACAAGAGTTAATAAATATTCAACACATGAAATCTGTGACTGTAGCCAATACTACCATTCTATCCAATAATACCCATTCTAGAATGCATGGAACAAGAGGTAAGAAAAACAAATGTGTTAAGAATTCCAATTTCTTATAATAAAAGGGATTTTATATTGTAAGACCAATGCATTGTGAAAAGGATGACCAAATGTAACAGAAAACAGAACTGCTGTACCTTTAACACAAGAAGTCATTTTTACCACTATAACTTCTCTCACTCCTTTGGTACTTGGCCATGGCAAGCTTGACCTGCTAAAATTCCTTCTTTTACATTCCAACATGAAATACGCAAGAATTCTGTTGTACCTGGTCTTGTGCCTACGGATCTGAGTAGGTAAGAGTATATAGACTCTGTTGTATGTATACCTCCAAATGTATGTGCTACCTCCGAGTAAGACAGTGTCTCCAAAATTCTAGTAAACTAAGGACAATGAACATGCAACTGTTAATTCTCTGAAAGCCAGAAAAAGAATCCAAGATTTCTGCTGCCTTACACAATAACATCCTAAGGATATTTACTTGGTAATAAATACTATTGATGTGAGTGGAATTTAATTCTAAAGAAGCATGCTTGTGATCTCAATTCATGCATGTTTAAACAACTGAAATTTATTTTTATGGGAAAAGACCACAAAGACATTACCTGCTTTCTTCCATTCCATCGGCAAAGCGGTTAGCGTAAGTGTTGTCAACAAGCCCTCCTCAGCATACTGCACAAAAGAGGCATGGGGGGGAAACAAAGATATTCCAGATCTCTCCACAATGAATCATGTTTGTGCCCTCCTTGAATTTACGTATACAAGATTTCTTAAGCACCCTGCTTTGGAAATGACTGGATTACAAACAGCTCCTCTCTCCTCCTCCAGCTTGAAACAAGAGCACTGTGCTACAGCTACAGAACAGCAGTCACACGGTTGTATTGGACCTCCGCTGTCACCATACTCCCTGAATCTCAGGCAGAGAAATGGATCACGGAAGTTATCTGCTTCATATCAGGAGTCTCTGGCAGCCGTTGTAATGATGATGAAGCATGATTTAGGATTTTAACATACCTAGCATAAAATATATGAGGATTAGGCATTGGAAAATGAGTAAACTCTGTAAGGAAGAAAAAAGAGAAAGAAGAAAATAATAGTCTGTTAATAATACGTTTCAGAGGCTGTGTGCCTCCAAGTACAATTAGGAATCACCATCCCCTCCTTGCACTTACAACTGGACACCCTTGAAAACCTTGTGCTGTAGGAGATGAATCCTGTTCCAATGCAAGGTACTTATTTTACTGGAAAAAAATACTGCTACATCCTAAAGAGTTTAGTTTTCAAAAGCACCAAGATGTTATATAGCTTTTCAATAAGTATCCCTATAAATAAAATACAGGAAAACGATGCTTAGGTCTGTCGGTCCCTTGACCCAGAAACACTTGTGATTTGTCTGGCTGGACTGACCTATACTTATTATTCTGCCTTTATGGAGGACTGCTTACATGGATGTAAACAAGAAAAAAAGCGAAGACTTGAACTTCATCTCAAGTTGCCTATAAAGAGGATCATGATAACATGCAACTTGAGGAAACAGACGTGAATTCAGTTTCCAAGTTAACTTTCTGTTTGTTGACATCAAACACTATGGGCAAGCACACTTCCTCCCCTTGAGACAGAGCTCTTCCACAGCGTCCTGATCACACAGTAGGGACGTAATTAGACGAGCATGCAAAACATACAGAAAACTAATGGCTGAAGCAGCTATTGGTAACCAAAAGTCTCTTAAAACATAGGTATGTGGGGGGTTGTTTCTGTCACAAAGTGTGTTAGTCCGTCGCAGCAAAAACAGGAAGGAGTTTTCTAGCATCTTAAAGACTAGCATTTATTGTGGCATAAACCAGAGACTACTTCATCAAAATACTTAACTATATCTGCACTGGGAAGATATATACATCCGGGTGGACTTGGAGAAACCTGTAAATAGCAGTTTCAAAAAGCCATGAAATACAAGTCATATTCCTGTGACATTTGTATCAGGATATACAAGGATATGGAATGCATACAAGGTAAGTGGTGACCGTTCACAGCATCAGTAAGTTGTAATGAATTATCATAACTTTTAGTAATGTTAGCATTTTAGTAATGTTAGCAATACATCCTCCCTGAGGGTTGCCAGTCTCCAGATAGCAGCTGGAGATCTCCCAGATTTACAACAGGTCTCTGGGTTACTGAGATGAGTTTCACTTGAGAAAATGGTACTAATATACCACAGAGTCATAAGAACATAAGAGAAGCCATGTTGGATCAGGCCAATGGCCCACCCAGTCCAACACGGTGTGTTACACGGTGGCCAAATCCCAGATGCCATCAGGAGGTCCACCAGCGGGGCCAGAACTCCAGAAGCCTTTGCACTGTCCTCCCCCCCCCCAGCACCAGGAATACAGAGCATCAGTGCCCCAGACATAGTGTTTTATCTATATGTTGTGGCTATATCTATATGTTGTGGCTAATAGCCACCAATGGGCCTCTACTCCATATGTTTATCCAATCTCCTCTTGAAGCTGTCTGTGCTTGTAACCATCGCCACTTCCTGCAGCAGTGAATCCCACATGTTAATTACTCTTTGGGTGAAAAAATACTTCCTTTTATCTGTTCTAAGCCTACTGCTCATTAATTTCATTGAGTGCCCATGGGTTCTTGTATTGTGAGAAAGGGAGAAAAGTACTTATTTTTTTTACCTTCTCTATCCCATGCATAATCTTGTAAACCTCAATCATGTCACCCTTCAATTGTCATTTCTCCAAGCTAAAGAGCCCTAACCTTTCTTCATAGGGAAGGTGTTCCATCCCCATCGTTTTAGTTGCCCTTTTCTGCAAAACTGTAACATTTGATTTCAAAAGAGGGAACTTTACGAACATGAGAAGGATAGTAAAAAAGCAGCTGAATGGGAAACACAAGAGAGCCAAATCCCTAGATGATGCTTGGAAGACTGGAGAGTAGCAAATGTGACACCAGTTTTCACAAAGGGATCTATAGGGGAACCAGGAAATTACATGCCAGAAAGATAGAATAGTTAAGCACATAGAGGAACAAAGCCTGCTGAGAGTAAATCAGCATGGCTTCTGCAAAGAGAAGTCCCACCTCACCAATCCTTTGGAGTTATTTGAAAAATTGACAATCGTGACATGGTAGACATTATGTACCTGGTCTTTCAAAAGGCTTTTGACAAGGTACCTCACCAAAGACTTCTGAGTGAACTTAGCAGTCAAGGGATAAGAGGACAGGTTCTCTTATGGATTAAAAACTGGTTCAATGACAGGAAGCAAAGAGTAGGAGTCAATGGACAGTTCTCACAATAGAGGGAAGTAAGCAGTGGGGTCCCACAAGGATCAGTATTGGGGCTGGTACTATTTAATTTATTCATCAGTGATATGGAACTGGGGGTGAATAATGTAGTGGCCAAGTTTGCAGATGACACCAAATTTTTCAGGATGGTGAAAACCAGGGCTGATTATGAAGAGCTCCAAGAGGACCTTCGCAGACTGGGTGAGTGGGCGACAATGTGGCAAATGAAGTTCAGTGTTGGTAATATTGGGAGAAAAATCCCAACTTCAAATATAGGCTAATGGGATCTGAACTTGCTGAGACTGAGAGGGTAAAAGATTTTGGGGTCGTAGCTCCCAAGGCCCAGGACTTCCGGCGGTGCGGCGCTGCAACGGCCGTGCTTCTCGTGAGCTTCCGAGAAGCCGGGCTTCGAGCGTGCTTTTTGGAGTCTCCCCCAGATTTGGGGGAGCTCCGCTTGGACTCCTGGAGGGAGACCGAGTGCAGGAGACTTTTCCGGGCCACCCCATTTCCCTGGCAAGGAGGAGGGTGTGACCGGCTTGCCTTGAAGCAGGAGCGTCCGAAGAACAGGAACATGGTCGCCATATTCCTGTATAGCAGCAGCCAGCCGTGTTTTTAAATGGTCTTTTTTTCTTTGGAAGATATCTCCCGTGACTCATGGAAAGAAGCAGTTTAAGTGTATCCTGGTCAAAGAAGGAGACTATATTAACACCTCTTTGTGGACACTCCCTGTGAATAATTGAAAGCGGACGGAAAAAGTATTGCGGGAAAATAGAGGGAAGAAATTGTTTGGGGTGAAAACAGCTTGCGGGAAGTAGCATCCCTTTTTTCAAGGAGGATATAAAAATAATAGAGTGACTTTGGAAAGGTACAATGTCTAAATGTCAAAATGTTATGAAGGAGGGAAGAAAGTGAATCTTTGCTTGTGAAGAAAATGGAGGCGACGGCTGTTTGTAAGGAGGTACAGGATGCAATCCTACGTGAACTGAGATCAGACCATTTTCAAAAATCTTTGAAAGAGGGACTAAGGAAAGCACTTAAGTCAGTCTGGGACAATGTCTTGGAATCCCCAAAATGTATATACAAAGAGGAGAAGAATAAACAAGGACAGGTTGAACCGCAGGAAGCCAACCAGGAGAGAGAGCAATATGGTATTCAAAAATTATCTACAGAAGAAGAGATTCATGAAACGGATTTACCAATTGGTGCTTTGGAAGAGGGGGAAATGGCGAAAGTAGGAGTGGGGAAAAATTGTTTGCCAAATCCTCCTCAAAGACGAGAGAGAAAGAAGAACAAAAGGAGGGGAAAAAATCCAGGAAGGCTACAAAGGAAACCAAGGACTTTAACATTAAACAATTGATTTTGGATATAAGAGGACACAGAAAACAGAATTGGGAACTTTGCATAAAAGAGTACAAGGACCAAAGACACTGGAAGGAAAAAAGAGAAAATCGAAGGAAAAAAGAAATAGAATATAAAGTTACAGTAATGAGTGCTATTGATTGGTTGTGAGTTAAGGAGCCAAACTGTGTGGGCTATAATGAATCAGGGAAATACCTGTTGAACTAAATGGATAGCAAGGCAGAAGAGAACCCTAAAATATTAGTTTGAATAGCAACATGCTATACTATTTTCTGGGTGTTTGCAGGTGTGTAGTCTGGGAGATTAAACACTAAGTTCTCTGCATAGGAGGTTCTAGAAACCTGTGAGAGTCAGCACTGAAAGGTTGGGGGTAAAATAGGTTGAATTTCAAGAACCAAATAATACCTGATGAGGCAAATGTAAAGCAAGACGAAACGATGAAATGAATAGTAGGAAATTTGATAATATCAGTTTAAACAGTAACATATTATATCAGTTTCTTTAGGTTGGTGTGCTGATTGGGCAGATAAAAATACAAGTTTTCTTATTAGGAGATTTGGGAAATCCAACAAAATGGGAAATTCAAGAAAGTTAGGCTGATAGAAAAATGGAAGGAAGCAAAGGTGAGGGAATGCCCCCTCCCCACAAGTTTCTTACAAGTCCCCACTTGTAAATATTTAAATCGATATTTTCTTTCATTGATTTAATTTGCTTGGATGGCAGAACAGTTGTGTGGCTTGCTTTGGTAGTTTCAAAAACTCTCCATCTCGCCTATTTTACCTGTCTGATTCTGTGTTCAGATTAGGGTTGCCAGACACCCTGGTGGAGGTGGGGGTCCCCCACAGCCAGGCCCCACCGCCCCACCACCAATCAGCTGGCCAGCAGGGGGGAATTTACCCCCCAAAAGAGGGAGATCCATCCGATGTGCAGCGACGTGTCTACATGACTGCCCACGTGACTTGGAAGTGACTTCATCACATCCATAGGTCAGGGCAAAAGCTCTCTGGTAGAAGCCAAATTTACCATAGGGTTTTTGCCCAAATACCAAAGCATCGCCCCAATGTCCCAGACGTGATGATTTCACTTCCGGGTCATGTGGACAGTGACATGGACATGTTGCTGTATGTCAGATGGGCGCTCCCTGCCGCTTCCAGTAAGTCCCCCCCCCCACATCCCCTGTTGGTTGCCAGGAGGGACCTGGCAACCCTAGTTCAGATCCAGATCACAACTATTTTGTTCATGGGTGTCCTTGCATTCCTTTGCAATGGCTGTTCTCTCACCCCACCCCCACCCCATTTTTCTAAAGCACCTGGAAGAAAAAAACCACTAATTTACAAAAGATACGTTTCCCTTGGTTGTTTCGATCCTGCTGGGCTGGGGGAAACCCACATGGCTCGTCTTTCAAGTGCTCCAGCTTCACTCATTTTGTCTCCTTGTATAATTCCCAAAGCTGAGCATGTTTATGTTCATTTGTTTATATTAATTGGATTTATGCACTGTTGCACTGCCACCTGAGAACTACAGTTCAGTCTGGTAAGTTCCAAGCATGCATCAATATGATTCATGCTGCCATAGCTCAGTGGATTTTAAATTTTGTGTGACCTGCTAATAATAATGACATCAGGCCATAGGCAAATGAGGTAAACCATTAATTGTGAGTGTAGGCCAGCAATGGCTGTCCAGCCAGCTGCCATCCCAAATGCTCCCACTGCACAAAAACAAAACTATTTGAGACGTTCTTTGTTTTTAATTTTAAGCAAATAATACAAGGAGCTGGACTCAAGAGAGAATAAGCATTCAAACAAAGTTAAGTACAATTTTCAAACAACTTATTTGTGAAAAACAAATCATCCCCAATTAAAGTAGGTGGCTAGCCCCAAAAGTTTTGCTATGCTGTATCTGCCCTGATTGCAGGACTTGGGGGCAAGTACCCAGAGTCAGAGTAAGACATGCTGATGCCCTAAACTAGGTCAAGTTCAAGAGGCCCCATAGGATTATCCACAGAAAGATCATTTAGTAATTTTAGCATTTTTTTTTTGTTCTGTTATAAATCCCTTCATAATCTGAGGTCCCTAAACTGTAGTTGACTTTAAGGTAAAGGTAAAGGTTCCCTTGCTCGAAAGCCAGTTGAATCCGACTCTAGGGTTGCGGTGCTCATCTCCGTTTCAAAGCTGAAGAGCCAGCACTGTCCGAAGACATTTCCGTGGTCATGTGGCCGGCATGACTAAACCCCAAGGCGCACGGAACGCTGTTACCTTCCCACCGAAGTGGTACCTATTTATCTACTTGCAATTTCTTGCTTTCGAACTGTTAGGTTGGCAGGAGCTGGAACTAGAGACTGGAGCTCACTCTGTCTTGCGGCACCTGGGTCTCGAACTGCTGAACTACTGACCTTCCACAGCCTGCAGTTCGGCGTCTTAACCACTTGAGCCACCGCAGCTCCGTAGTTGACTTTGCCTCTGCTTAAATCCAGTTCTGAAAGCTGCTCTTCACTTCTGACTTCCTAACAAATGACATCGCAATGAAATAAAAGAGGTAATACACAGAGCAGCATACTTGACTTTGAGGAATTTTTGACTGCAATCCAATAATTTGTTGTCGATTACCTGGTAATTTATAATTTGATTGTTCAATTGACTGCAGTATCACACCCCCCCCCCCCCAATCCATTGCTGGCCTGAAAGTCACCGTTTATCCAAGACATCAAAGAATGACTTCAGTATGAAACTGCTGAATTATTCATTGGTTACATTTTGTCCCACCTGTCTTTTATGGGACTCCAAGCAGAATATATAAGGCTCCCACATGGTCTACCCATCCAGACACTGACCAGACTAACTTTGCAACTTTGCTATAGCAAGGATGCAGCATCATATATGCCTTCAGACCATACCCTGAATTAGTTTATCAGGAAGCTTGACACTATCCAATAAGGAGTCAGTTGCAATGATGGGCTCCTGTTACACTACAGGTGTTAAATTAGCGTAGCAAGTCTAGCAAGATTGTGCTATCACCTATTACTGCTACTGCGAATGGACCTTGTGCTTATCTTGTATGCATCTGAGCCTTCCATTGAAATGTCACAGGCTGTACCTCTTGCGTTTCCTTGCCTTTTTGACCCCACTCCACCTTACTATATCCCCCCTCTATGGGTCCTGAAGTGCGTCTTCTGTCAGCTGAGGACATGCAATTCATGTATCTGATGAAACAGACTCCAGCCCGCCAAGGCTCGTGCTGCAATACATATGGTAGCTCTGGAGCTGCCTCAAAGCTCCCTTTTGTTTTTGTAACCAGAGAAGTTGCAAAACTGCTTTGCCACCATTTTTTTCGTTACAGTCTTCTTCGTTTAAACAGAATGCACATTCTAAGTTCTAAAAAGGGAAGCACTATTGAATGGTTTTCTCTTTGCACATGATTTAAATTTTTGTTCCACTCTGTAGCAACTGACCTGATGTTTTTATTTTTGGGGTTTTTTTTTCTGTCAGGTCACAGGTGACACAGGAGAGTTTTCAAGACAACAGACATTTAGAGTTAGTTTGTGTAGCAACCCTGGAATTCCTTGGGGGTCTCGGGGCCAGCCCTGCTTAGCAGCCAAGCTCTGATGAGACTGGACTAGCCTGGCCCATCCAGGTCAGGACCAGTGTTCCCTCTAAGCTGAGTTAGTGTGAACCAGCTCACAGTTTTTTAGCCTCCGGCTCACACATTTTTGTCTCAGCTCACGAGAGATGGCTCCAGAGCAAACTAATTTATGCAGTAGCCCAATCGCTCGCTCACAGCTTTAATGCCAGGAGCTCACAAAGTAGAATTTTTGCTCACAGGACTCCACAGCTTAGAGGGAACATTGGTCAGGACATGTTCAGTCTTACGGAGCAATTTGTCCTGTGGGTTAAGGTTGCCACCTCTTTATTGAGCAAAGGCCTTGTCACTTTTATAGCTGCACCAGACAACCAAGGAAGCGTTCCCCCAGCCATGGAGCTGAAGTGTTAAGAAAAGTGGTACCCGTCAATTTCTTGAGGTTCTTCTTAGGTCCTCAAGATCTGCGTTTATTTAAAAAGTTAATGCTTTGTTTTAGAATGGGTTGCTGTTCTAAGTCATCGACATGGTTCTCCTCGGATGATCCATCCCTTTAAAGCTACCACAGCAGATTCTGCCCTCTTTCTTGTGAAGGAGATATACGTGTGCACACACCTTTCCTCCAGTTGGGAATACGACAGCATCAGCACCCGCTTACCTCTGACTCTCCTCCTCTTCCTTCACTCATGCATCCTTGCCCTTGATGGGAAAGGAGTACGCAGTTGACTCTTTCACCCTGCACTGATGATGCTATTTGCCTCTTCCCAGGGACACATATTGGTAACTAGGGTTGTTAATCTCCAGGAGGGGCCTGGAGATCTCTCAGAACTATAACTGATTTTCAGATGACAGAGACCAGTTCCCCTGGAGAAAGTGACTGCTTCAGAGGGTGGACTCTATGGCATTGCATGCCACTGAAGTCCCTCCCCTCCCCAAACCCCATCCTCTACAGGCTCCATACCCAAATCTCCAGGAATTTCCTAACCCCTTAGTTGGTAACCTTAGTGGTAACTGTGTATTTTCAGCTGCAGGGCATAAAAACTTGTGGCAGGGGGTTGGCTTTGGGGAAACAACAGAATAAAAGTTTCCCCGAAGCACTGCAGACACGCTCTGAAACAGCCACCATTTTGTGACTAGCTGTATCAACTGAACCGCCATTTTGTGATTGACTCCACCCACTGAACTGCGATTTTGTGACTGATCGCTCCCAAGGCTCTTCAACAAAATTATTTCCCGAAATATGAAGTCTACATTCCCCTGATTTAAGCTATTGTAAGTGGCTCATTTAGGGTGGCATAT